TGAAGGACTGGTAGTGGAATTTTCCCGCAATGATATGAGTAGAGCTGACGCTTCCGTTGAATTTCACATTGCCTTGCTTTCCCAAAAGTTGATCTCATCCAGGGTGGACTGCAGTTTCGACCTCGCATCAGTCTTATCAACACCCCCAGCGGGAGTCGAACCATGTTAGTGCGGGTGTTGATAAGACCGATGCGAGGTCGAAACTGCAGTCCACCCTGGATGACAACAACTTTTAGAAAAGCAAGGCAATGAGAAATTCAATGGAAGCTTCAGCTTTACTTATATCATTGTGAGAAAATTCTACTACCAGTCCTCCATCACCTTAAACGAAATAGGGTGAATATCTCTCATATTAAGGAATTTATTTTACAGCCATTAAATTATAGCTCGCTCTTTTATTGCGTCCCTTAATTTTTTTCCCTCAATTTCTGCGTTTATCTTGAAATCCCTTTCCATTTCTTTCTTTCACAATTGTGACCAGACAATGTTTCTTCAGTTGTATCCGATTGGAGTTCCTTCGGGCGACACTCAGACTCTTTGTTATTCAGATATGCTTGGCAGTCCTCTTTGGCATCTGGTACCACTAAGATCATGTCTTCGTCGCAAATCCGTGCGGGACGTTGTCGAGAGCCAATTGCGTCACAGACTCTCTCGATTGACAGCTATATCGACTAAAATCAGCCGTCCAGTCAATTGGGAAATAGACGCAGTATGTTCCCATTGTTGCATTCTTTTTTCCTTATTTGTATCTCTTGTCAGCATAATCTTATTTTTCTCATACTTTATTTGTTTATTTATTTATTTATCTTAGTAAAACTAACAGACTAGACAAGCTATCCATGTGACTAATTATTCCTTATTTTCACAATTCCATACTTCAGTTGGTCACACTCCTTCTCTTCAATGAAGTCTCTCCTGCCTTCAGATCCTCTTGTGCACTTGATCTCTCCTCTTTGGCAGTCGCATTTTTGGATCATTATCAGGCTCGTCGTTCCGTTTGTCCTGCTTCATCACCTATCTCCATGGTAAGCTTCATCTTTTGCTGGCCGGCCTAGATCTGTTCAACCACCTAACTAGTAATGGTCCCTTTGGCTCATTGCTTTGGCAAACATGTAATTTCCATTATACATTTTAATTTTATCTTGGTTTATTTCCATTAACTAATCACATCGACATTATCATTATCTAAAATATTTAAGTACCTCAATCTCTTAAAAAAGTACTTAAAATTTGATTTTTACATAATATTTTTAAGACCTTTGCATTAATTAGCGATCAACGGATTCCCTTGAATTCACTATGTTGAAACCGTTCCAGCTACTCTCTCACCTTTTTGTGTATTATTATTCCTAAATGTGTAATCTACTGAATTCACAATCTACTATCATCTGAGCTCTTTTTATGAGGTATTTGGTGCAAGATATTAGAGGATTCTTACCACCAAACACTGGAGAAAGATTTTTTTT